GGGTACGGTCTTTTTTTTTTTTAGTTTTATTCATTTCAAACGGGCCGAATCCGGCCCGCGGGCCGTAGTTTGCCCACGGCTGTTCTAGAGGCACCTGCACCCCTTGCCTTATGGCCCCTTCCTCCATCTTCATAGCCCGTCATTCTGATCTCTGCTTCTGTGATCACATCTCCTCTGACTCTGACCCTCCTGCCTTCCTCGTATAAGGACCCTTGTGATGACAGAGCCCACCTGATAATTCAGGATACTCTTCCCATCTCAAGATCCCTCACTTAATCCCATCTGCAAAGTGCCTGTTGCCCCAGAAGGGAGCATTGCCACATGTTGTGGGGATTCAGACGTAGACATCCTTGGCAGCTGTTATTCTGCCAGCTACGGCCACATGGAGAGATTTCACAGTAATTGGATCCTCTGACTTCAGCTCTGGCCGATGTCAGGTGCTGGCAGGGCTGTGGAGTGGGGCGGCCTTCAGCTATGCAGGCGGGAGAGGCCCAGGAGCTTCTGGGAGAGCCAGCGACAGCCTACTGTGTCCTGAGGAAGATGTATGCAGCCTTAGCTCCACAAATTTATAGCCTCATGTGGCCTTTCAACCAGGGGTTGTGCCCTGTTAAAAGACAGTGAAATCACTAAAATGGGTTGTGCCGATACTTTTAAAAACCAGCTTAAAGTAAGATTTAGAATGTCAGTGTGCATTGTCTGTTGTAAGAGTGCTGGTGAAATCCGTGCTATTTAAAACTCTTGGTAAATTGGAGAAAGGGTGTGGGATTGAGTTCAAGGGGTAAGCTGCCCTTCCTGGAATGTCAGGCCCATCCTCATGCTCAGGTCTCGTATAGCATGTGCAAAGGTCCAGAGGCAGGGAACATCTGGTAGACCCTGTGCCATTGTGGTTCATGTGTCTGGAGAGCTGTGGGGAGATATGGGTGGGAGGGCTGGTGAATTGGGGTAGCTGTAGCCCAGATTGTCAAAGGTCCTGGGGCCAAACCCAAGTTTAGAGTCTTGTGCTGTATCCATTCCACAGGTACTGGAATGTCTCTGCCCAACTAGCTTCTAGGTTGGGACCCAGCCCTGGTGGGGTCTGCACAGCCCCTGCCAGGCTCCCCCAGTGTGCACCTTATGGGGGTGCAGATGGTGGTCACCACGCGGCATTGTCCATGTGAGTTTCCTCCTTGGAGGTTGCTTTCCCCGGCTTCAGGAGTTCACAGGAGGCAGAACTTGTTGTAAACCTCCCAGAAGCTGCCTGTACCTTAAGGTTTCTAAAAGCTTCTCTGGTTTAATTTGTTCCTGGAGGTCCTTGCTTTCTCAGATGCTGATTTGTGGAAGATGAGCTTAAAACCGTTGTGTTCCTGCAAAGTGGCAAGGATTTGGATACATCTGAATAAAGGCAAGAGTGTCCTTGGGCTACATGCCACTGTTAGGAGTGTAATGTGGATTTTAGACTTAAGCATGTGATAAATGTAGTTAATCGTGCTTTTATTTTGTGCATTTTAGGAACCATCACCATTGCTGGAACCTGACAGAAATCCAAGCCATTTACTAGAGCATCTCTCATTGCAGCCTCACCATCATAATATACCAGGAACTTTCAAGTAAGTGCAAGACCAAGGTCCCAAAGGCCACAGCCTCCTCCCAGGTGGCTGTGAGGCTGCATGCTGCGGGGAGAAGGTAGCCCCATGTGATTCTGAGTTCTTGGGGTCTCCAGGGTCTGCCTGCCTTTAGACAGGGGAGCTTAGAACCCTCTAGGAGTGGCTCTGCTGGGTGTCTCTTTTCTAGTCTGCATACTCCATGTTTGCCCTCTCGAAGCCCCGAGAACCACTGAGAGTTTTTATTGATTCTGGGGTTGCCTAGGACGGGCTGCTCTGTCGTTCGAATCAGGTGGGATACAATTTCTGGGCTTTCTGAGGCCCTATTCACCCCACCCCACAACCTGTAGAGGATGGTGACCAGTCACAGCCAGGGGTGGTGGGGTGGGGGTATTTAAAATGAAAGATTCTTTTTAAATGGATTTAAAAGAATCCCATTGCCCAGCTGCTTCTAGGTGTCAACTCCAGGCTGTCCACCTTCTCCTATACTTTTCTAATAAAGCAGGGACAGAGGACAGAGGGTTTTAAGGTGGTGGCCTCTGGCCCTAACTGGTTTGGCTCAGTGGCTAGAATGTCGGCCTGTGGACTGAAGGGTCCTGGGTTTGATTCCGATCAAGGGCACATGCCCAGGTTGCAGGCTCGATCCCCAGTAGGGGGCATGCAGGAGGCAGCCGATCAATGATTCTCTCTCATCATTGATGTTTCTACCTCTTTCTCCCTCTCCCTTCCTCTCTGAAATCAATATAAATAAAAAAATAAAGTTGTGGCCTCTGATGGTATCCCAAGGTGGTCACTGGTAAGAAGAGAGGAAACAAGCTAATCACCTCCCAGCTCACACCCATGGCGGTGACAGGTTGGAGGACAACCAGTCCTGTTCACTCCCTGCCACGTTGGCTGCTCCCAGTGGTCTAAGAAAGGCTGCCTCGAATTCCATATTTCATGTTGACCTCAGATGCAGGCCACATGGCTAATTAGGGCCAGGCGTGGACTAGAACTCAGTATTTTCAAATGCATTGAAAACCCCAAACCACTTTTCAGAAAAAGTGATTCTGCATGCGCATCCCACGGCTGTTACACCGTGACTATAAACCTAGTGACTGCAAACAACCCATATTCATTCCCTGACAGTTCTGGGGTCAGAAGTCTGGAGTGAGTTTTATGGGGCCTTAGGTGTTGGCAGGGCTGCTCCTTCTGAAGACTTCAGGGCAGAATTGATTTCTTGGAGTTTTTTCAGTTTTCCACTCCTCAGGGCCCCTTCCTCGAATCACTTCAGCCTCTGCCTCCATTGCTCTGTCATCCAGTCTTCATCTCTCTCCCTCTTATAAGGACCCTTGTGATGACACTGGGCCCCCTGAGGATTCCCAGGACTATCCCCATCTCAGGGTCCTTAACTTAATCCATCTGCAAAGTCTCTTTGCCATGGAAGGGAGTGTAGTCACAGTCTAGATTAGAATGTAGATGTCTTGGGGAGGTGATGGTGTATTATCCTGCTGATCATAATTTCGTCTAAACCACCAAATTCTTCCGCAGTGGTGCTACCATCTTAATATTCCCACCTGATTATATCAGTGTTCCAATTTCTCCACATCCTCATCAACACTTCTCCTTGTCTGTTTTTCTTGTTCTAGCCATCCTAGTGGGGATGAGTGGTATCTCACTGTGGTTTCGATTTGCATTTCCGCGTTGGCTAACATGTTTAGCCCCTTTTTACCTGCTTGTTGACCTTTTGTGTATATTCAAGTCCTCGGCCCACTTTTTAATTGGGCTGTTTGTTTCCGTATATTGAGTTGTCAGAGCCCCGCTTTTTGGCATGTCTCTGTCTGGTAAGGAGCACGTCCCTCTTCCTGACTGTGCTGCGAACTCCCTCCCTGGGGCTCTCCCTGTCCTCTGCCCCTCCCCCATGTTTCCAATGAACCAGAAGATTGGCCCAGGACTGGCATCCAAATTCCTTTTTTATTTTTTAAATATGTCCATATATGATTTTTATTTGCCCTCACTCAAAAAAATGTGTCAAGGGTTATGGAGTGTTGGGATTACAAACTATTTTAATTTTCTTCCTTATATTTACGTACTAAAAAAGTTCATTTCAAAAGGCACGAATAAGAGAGAAAAAAATCCTATGGAATTTACCATGGAGCTGAATCTGGATGAATCTGGTGGTTGGAGTAGAGCATCTCTTGCCAGTGTGCAAATGCAGAATACTCTACCTGCTGTCTCAGCATCTGCTTTTCCACCTCCTGGATGGAAAACTCATCTGTGTCATGATTTTTGACATGAGAGAGAGAGCTCGTGTGGGCAGGACCCCGGTGCTGCCCCAGCTCTGCCTGGGACAAGCTGGTCCTGGGGAGGAGACTGTCACCTCCCACCAGTGGCGCCGGGTATTTGGGTGGATGGGTGGGAGGTGGCCTCTGCAAGAGGCTCTTGTCTCCCTCCCCTGTAGGCCACTCGGGAGCCAGCCTCAGAAGAGAGGCAGCCAGCTGGCCAGGACTGGCCGAACTCAACATGAGAGCTGTTGGGTGTGGGTAGGTGTTGGCACCTGCCACTCACTAGGGTGGGAGAGAGGTGGGAGATTCTGGCTGTCTCAGCAGAGTCTGGCTGGGCATCTGGCCCTACCACCTACTTGCCAAGTGGCTTAGGCATGTGACCTCCCTTCGTGGGGTCCTGTGTCCTCAGTGAACTATGAAAAATGGGCTCATTGTGTAGAGTGGACAAGTCACCCGTGTGAAATGCATAGAACAGGGCTGGGGGCCTCTGAAGTGCTGATTTGTTCACTGCCTCCAGATCTGGGCACCGGTGGCCATGGCAAACTGAGGAACCAGCTTCTGGACTTTTGCCTGGCCATCGAGGGCTTTGGACCAGGGGCTGAGGCGGGTCAATCATGTCAGGCAGCAGGCCTCAGAGGACGAATCAGATGGTCCATGTGGTATAGGTGGGTGGCCTATTGCTCTGTACAGGCGGAGGCCCTGACCTCCCTAGTGGGTGTGGAAAATCTTGAGGGATGTTGAAGTGGGATGGACAGGAGTGGGTGGCTAGGATGGTGGGAACGTGAGGAAGGCCAGCTAGCTCTCCTGTTTCGGTGTCTCATTCGAGGTCCTGGCCCATGGAGCCCTCTCCCGCCCTTCCTTGTTCTCCCGCCATAGCCGTTAGCACAGCTCAGAACCACACTGATGTGCACAATAGTATTGGGGTCAGGGTCTGTCTCCCCAGGACAGACGTGCTGTCCTGTCTGCCGCTGTGCAGTGAAGGCCCACAGTGAGCCCCGTGTGGCTGCATCTGGGCTGGAGGGGAGAGGGCAGGTAGGCTTGGGGCTCAGGTAGGGTGGGTGAGGGTCCCAGGTGGGGATTCAGGTCCTGGGCCCTTGGCTGCAGGCAAGGGGCCGTCTGGCATGGCATGGTGGTCAGTCTTAAAGACTGGTCAGGGCTCCAGAGGGGCAGCCTGGCTTAGGCTGGGACTTTCTGGTGCCTGCTGCTCCCTAGGAGGGATTGTGACAACCCCTTTCCTTTTATAAACCATGTGTTCTTGGTGGTTCTGTGTGATCCTGCCCAGAGTTGCTGTCAGACATCACAGGCTCGTGACCTGCCATGCACACTTCAGCTTTGCGGCTGCCCCTCGAGAAAACTTGAGACTTGTTGTGGACACAGGGTCATGGTGGGTCCCAGCCTGGATGCAGCAGTGAAGCAGTGACATCTCCCCGCCCTCACCCCCACTCTTATGTCAGGATCCTCCGGGGCCCTCGCCAGCAATGCGTGAGAGTCTGGCCCTCAGAGGGAGGCTTTAGCTGCTGTCCCCCTGGCCCCAACCTCATGTGTCCCAGGTATGGGATGGGGTGTTAGGGGCAAGGCCAGAACAGGGTACCTGTGAGCCTGGGGCCTCCAGATCCCTCCCAGGGGAAAATGACTTCCTCAGTGGCAAATCCTGGGTTTGTGCTGCCCTCTAGTGCCCGCCGCAGGCATTACCTTTTGGAAGCATCTTGTCACCACCACCCCCACCCCCCACCCCCGCTCCACCCCTTTCTGGGACCACTGGGCTTCTTGGGTTTCTCATTCCCCAGCTCACTTTGGGGTGGGGTGAGGTGAACTTGGTTAAATTGTTCTCTAAGTTCTCAGGTCTGTGTGTACTTGGATTCTGACTTTTTCTAAATCCTGGTGGGAGTCTAGTCTTTTGAACCTGGAGAATTTAATCGGCCAACAGGGACCCTTTCCCAGAATCTGTCACCGAGCCTCTTCCTGCTCAGGGTGGGCCACTGATAACCACACTGGGTCCCATTAACTCCAGAGACAGGAGGGGGCCATTCCAGTCTGCACCCTTCTCCCCAAGAGGAGCTCTGATTCCCAGTTATCTTCAGGCGCCTGCCGTGAATCTTAGAGTGCATGACATAGTACGGTCTCCCCTCTGTGCCAAAATGTCCAGGCATGGTTATGACTGAGGGTGCCTTGGAGCCTCTGATTGCAGGCAAGGAGCCGTTCTGGCCGGCCTTCTACCCTCTGGTTCCAGATTCCTGCCTGGGGCTTCCCATGGGTCCCTGGGCCTGGGTTCACTGACAGCAGCCAGGCCAGTCCTGGACCGACCCACATATTGCTCGGGGTGGGCCCTGCCTGGAGTTGTGGTCCCCCTGCTTGCAGGCTGGTACCTCAAAAGAAGGCAGACTCACACACAACCTCACTTACCTTGCAGAACCTGCCACGTGATCCTATGTCTCTGCATGTCCAGCTCCAAAGGACATACATTGAATTGAGTCCCTGAAACGAAAAGCTTTTATTTTCTAGGGCCCCCAGCTTAAAATTAGTGCTCTGGCTTCCAGTATCACGTTGGCTTTTGGAACTAGGACACCTCTGTTTTTAATTAGTTGAAGTCATCTTGGTCTTTTGTGCCAGAGCAGAGCAAGGCAGTCTTCTCTCTGCCCCGCGTTGCTTCCTGGGGCCCCGGGTACTTTTAGTGTGGTCTGTGGAGCAGGGCACCCGCTGGTGGCAGCACCGCCTGCTCACGCTCTTCTGTCTTCCCTCACAGGTGTGGCAGTGTCTCAGCTGCAACCATGGGGTCTGAGGATCATGGGGCCCAGAACCCCAGTTGTAAAATCATGACATTTCGCCCAACTATGGAAGAATTTAAGGACTTCAACAAATATGTGGCCTACATCGAGTCCCAGGGAGCCCACCGGGCAGGCCTGGCCAAGGTGGGTGACACATCCTGGTCCCGCGCAGCTTCTCTGTGTGTGTCCATGTCCAAAGGTGTTGCACCCATTAACCTGTTCACTGATCCATTTTGACCTCATTTCTTACAAACAGGACGGGGTTCTTTCCCTGTGCCAGGCACTGTTCTAAGCACTGGAATTCATAATTGACTCACACCGCCCGTCCCTGCAGGGGTTGGCAAGCTGGGGCAGAGACAGCACTGTGCTGAGCCCAGCCCAGCGGGCAGTGGCCACCAGGGCATCATGGCAGCAAGTCTCACCCCAGTTCATAATTGACTCACACCACCCCGTCCCTGCAGGGGTTGGCAGGGCTGGGGCAGAGACAGCACTGTGCTGAGCCCCGCCCAGCGGGCGGTGGCCACCAGGGCATCATGGCAGCAAGTCTCACCCCACTCGGGGAGAAGGAGGTCTAGAGTCTGGGGAGGCTTCCAGGCAGTTGATGCCAGGAAGGCCTGAGGTTTTGCCTTTATATTCTTAGTGAAACAAGGTGTGTTTTTATTGTTGTTGCTTTTTTGGAGATAGTATACACAGGGGAGGCAAATTCAAACAGTGCAAGAGGGCAGAGAGTGACGGATGAGTCTCTTCTTCCTCCCATCTCCCAGCTCCTATCCCTGGAAGCAACATGGTTACCATCCTGTCTCCTTCCTTGGCATATTATACACATAGGTGTGCATGTGTGAAGGCAGACAGACACACAAGCTCATCCTGTGTCTCTCTTTTTCCTTTTTTTTTTGTGTGTGTGTGTGAATCTTTACCCGAGGATATTTTTTCCATTGATTGTTTTTAGGAGAGAGTGGAAAGGTGGAAGGATTGGGAGAGGGCTGAGAGAGAGAGGAGAGAGAGAGAGAAACATCGATGTAAGAGACACATTGTTTTGTTGTTTCCCACATGGGCCCCAACTGGGGCTGGGGATGGAACCTGCAACACAGGTACATGCCCATGACCAGGAATCGAACCCATGACCCTTTGGTACTCAGGCCAACATTCTAACCACTGAGCATACCGGCCAGGGCCTGTGTCTCTTTTTAATATAAATGGCTCTTTCTTCCTTTCCTTTCCTCTTTTCTTTCCTCTTTCCTTTCCCCTTTCCTTTCCTTTCCTTTCCTTTCCTTTCCTTTCCTTTCCTTTCCTTTCCTTTCCTTTCCTTTCCTTTCCTTTCCTTTCCTTTCCTTTCCTTTCCTTTCCTTTCCTTTCCTTTCCTTTCCTTTCCTTTCCTTTCCTTTCCTTTCCTTTCCTTTCCTTTCCTTTCCTTTCCTTTCCTTTCCTTTCCTTTCCTTTCCTTTCCTTTCCTTTCCTTTCCTTTCCTTTCCTTTCCTTTCCTTTCCTTTCCTTTCCTTTCCTTTCCTTTCCTTTCTTCTTTCTTTCTTTCTTTCTTTCTTTCTTTCTTTCTTTCTTTCTTTCTTCGTTCTTTCTTTCTCTCATTAGAGACTATGTTTTTACTGATTTTAGAGAGAGTAGAAGGGGAAGGGAGAGAGAGAGAAACATCAATGTAAGAGAAAAACATCGATTGATTGTTTCCCTTATTACCCACCAGGGATCGAACTGGCAACCTAGATATGTGCCCTGACTGGGAATGAAACCAGCTGCCTTTTGGTGTATGGGATGACTCTCCAACCAACTGAGCCATCTGGCCAGGGCATGGCTGTGTTTTTCATGTTCATGTGAACCTGTGTGTGGCATTACTCACCTAATGATCAGGAAGATTTGTAACATGTTTGCTTAGGGTTCTACTAGTTGCTTCCTGGATGAGTATCACTTTATCTAAGATTCCTAGTTGTCTATTCCTTAAATCAGGAGGTTGGTAAACGTTTTCTACAAAGAGCCAGATAGTATTTTCAGCTTTGCCAGCCGAGTAGTCTCTGTGTCCACCACTTAGTTCTGCTGCCTTAGATGAGCCATAAACCAACGGGCGTGCTGTGCATGAGTAAAACTTTATTTATGGACACTGAAATGTGAATTTCACAGAACTTTTACTTGTCCCGAAATATTCTTCTTTTAAACTATTTCCCCAACCATCTAAGAAAGAAAAACAACAACAATAAAAATACACCAAACAAAGCAACACATTCTTAGCTCGCAGGCTGTACAAAAGCAGACAGCTGGTGAGATTTGTACCACAGACTGCGGTTCGCTACCTCCCCCTCTCCCATACCTGTTTTTGGTTGGTTTTGTTACTAATACCAGTTCTGGTCCTGGTGACACCCATACCTTCAACCTCAGCCTCAGGAGAAAGGAGAGCAGTATGCCCACAGCACCTTTCCCTCCCCTCCCCTCAGGATTTTTGATCATATTATACCTAATAATACAGACAGCACAGAGCACTTTATTTCGTTTGGGAACCACGGCTGCCACTGCCATTTTAACTTCAGTTCTCCCTTTAAATGGCTTTAGTGCTCACCATCGGTGTCTTACTCGCCTGCAGTTTGTCATCTCATGAGAGAAGGGCTCTGGAAATGCAGTGCCTGGGGTTCTAGCAAGTTCAGAAGCGTTCATTTGGGTCTTTTCTGCCGCCCACCAATCCACAGTCTGGTGTCCATTGTCAGGTGAAACTTTCCTGCCACCCCTCCTGTTGCAGGCCCCCAGTGGTGGGGAGATTCTGAGGCCAACGGAGTCCTGGTGCCTGTCGAGGTGTGGGGCTTGGGATCCCTTCCTTTATCTGCTGTCACTGACCTTGTTTCACTTCTAGTTCGCAGCCAGCCCATCTCCCTGCCTTTGGATTCACATCACCTATTATGTCAGGAAACTTGTACTGTTCTGTTGGAAGTACCTTTAAATCCCACCCCGACACTCTTCTGCTATCCTTTCACCGCCGTCATTTCTGTCACCCTTCCTTCACCTCTGTGTGATCCACACCATTACCTTCTCTCTCCCCTTCTTCCTCTCTTTCACTGTCTCAATGCTTCTCCTTTGAACCCAGATACCTCTGTTTAGGCTTTTAATTCCAGTGGACCGATTTTTTGCTAATTTATTTGGATCGGTGGGAAACTATTCGGACTGGGGATTTTGTGAGGCAGATATTTTCAGGGTATATTCTCCTCTGCCTTTTGTTTTGCATGTCCCTTTTCTCTCTTAAGTTCTGTTTTATTTGCCACTTCCTCTCTGACTGATAGTCACCTTTGGATGCGGGAATTCTTTCTGAATCCAGCTGAGGGCGAAGCAGTCTGGGGGTGCAGGCACGGGTTCTGGTGATTAGGGTCACAGCGACACACGTGTGCACACGTGTCCCTTCTTCCATCTAGCAGGGACAGGGTGTGGTGCCTCTAGTCCCTCAGCGGCCTCCCTGCCAACTCTGGGGACAGATGGATCCAAGGAAGCAGGGGCTTTGTCCCTGGGCCCCTCCCATTTTTTTCAAAGGGGGATCCTTGGCTCTCAGGCTGCTGGTCTCTATGGAGAAGAGATACGATGTCCTGCTGGCCTGACATGGATGTCCCCCTACCCTGGCCTCATCAGCCTTGACTGCTCTTCTCTGTGTGTGTGTGCATGTGTGTGAACGTGTGTGATATGTGTATGCGTGCACGCGTGTGTGTAGGGGTTTCCTTCTTTCATAAAAGCTGTATTTGGTCCCCTCCTCAAAAGCTCTGTGAGGCTCAGTAGACCTGGGTGGGAGTGGGTGTTCAGCAGGCACAGGTACAGTCAGGGCCGCGGCTAGAATCGGCTGTGGGTGTGTGGGAACTCCACTCTGGGGCCATCAGGCAGCCCAGTCATATTCCTCAGCCACTCTGCATATACTCTGAGGCCCGTGCCCAGTGGGTCCCTGCCTCCCACAGACCAGGGCTGGGAGCCTCCCTAGTCTGCTTGGGAAGCTCGGGGGCAGGAGGAGCCAGGGAAGGGTGGTGGGGCAATGGGACAGTGTAGGGTCCTATGGGAGGGGTCAAAGTGCTCTGGTGCCCAGGTGCATCCCTAAGGACAGTCCTGAAGGTAGACAATACCCTGGTTGCTCTCAGCTGCCAGGCCTGCCCCATGAAGAGTGGCTTTGGGACCAGGTGGTTTTGCGGGGGGCAAAGGCTTGCCCCTCACTCTTCCCTCTTGCAGTGTTCCCCACACCTACTACCCCAACTGTGCAGACTCCTAGCTTTGCCATACAACTCGCACCTAGGCCATTTTCCCAGTATCCCCTCATTCACTTGAAGTGTGTGGCCTTACTCTGGCTGAACTTGCTCTCCAGGAGCTTTGAGCAAGGGTCAGTCCAGGGCTATACCAGGCAGGTGCACCAGGTGCCGAGTGGGGCCAATCAGAATGCTGGAAGTTCTTTAGGTGACATTCTTCAGATGTCCTTTGCCTGGGATCTCCTTTTATTTTATTTTATTTTTTAAAATATATTTTTATTGATTTCAGAGAGGAAGGGTGAGGGAGAGAGAGATAGAAACATCAATGATGAGAGAGAATCATTGATTGGCTGCCTCCTGCATGCCCCCTACTGGGGATCGAGCCCACAACCTGGGCATGTGTCCTTGACAGGAATTGAACCTAGAACCCTTTAGTCCACAGGCTGACACTCTATCCACTGAGCCAAACCAGCCAGGGCGGGATCCTCCTTTTAAATCTGATTTTGTAGTGGTGTGAGGGTATTAGGCCAGAAGGGGTTTTTCCAGAAGCTTCAGTTCTGGAAGTGGCCCTCCTTTTAAGCAGCTTTTCAAAACCTGCTTAGAATGTGTCCAGGAAGGAGTGGTTCACACGTATGCAAACCAGACATCGCACGTGTGTGTAAGGGTCCCTCCTGGTTGTCAGATGTCTTCACACAGCAGTGTGTGAGGGGTGGCATAAATGAACAAAGTAGCCTCAGGCTCTTGTTTGAAGGTGGGAAATTTGGGAGTGACATACTTTGTTCATTTTGCCCCAGACTGGGACTAGGGATGGACTTCTAATAGAACTGAAGTGGGTCCGGAGCCTGTGCAGGCTCATGGCACTTTCCTGAAAGAGGTTTGGGTTTTCTGTCAAAAGGAGACATCAGTAACGTAATTAAAAAGCAGCTCAGGGTCATGGATCCTTCCTCACAGAAGAATGTCTTGGATCCTGGAGGCATAGCCCCTTTTATTTATTTCTTTTGTTTTCCAGTCTTGAATGTTTTAGTTTAGCACCCGAATCTTCAGATTTCTCACCAGAAATCTAAGAAAACCTTCTGCTGGCAGGCTGACCCCAACCAGTACCTTGTTGTCACATGGCCTCGCACCAGAAACAGGCGGGTATTCTAGGTGCCTGTTGCATCGAGGCCGCAGTTGACAGAGCAAGAGAGACGTCCCCAGAAAGAGCCTCCACTGAAAGGTTGTGTGTCAAGGCCGCAGTTGACAGAGCAAGAGAGAAGACGTCCCCAGAAAGAGCCTCCACTGAAAGGTTGTGTCCTCGTCCTCATTTAACTCTTATTAGGGTCCCAGCCTTGGCAATGCTGATATCTGGGTCGGGTATCTGTGGAGGGCCATCCTGGCCACTGCAGAGGGTGCTGAGCACCTACTCAATGCCAAGAGCACCCACAATCATGACAACCTCAGATGTCCCTAGACATCACTCACTGTCCCCTCGGGGCAGGGTTGCTCCAGGGAGACCCACTGACTTCCTCTGTTGTTATTTATTTGACTTTTATAAATAAACTGTGTGTGCTGATAGGGGATGCAGCACCTTTCTATTGTTAACTGGCAACTGGAGAATAAGTGCCAAGCAAAACATTTTCTTTCACTGGTGTCATAGGTGGGATTGTAGAGTCCTTTTGGAAGCTGTCGGCAAACTTGGGCATCAGCGTGGTGTTCTTCCCTCATTGGCGCGGAGTAGGCTGAGGGTTCAGCCTCTTTAGAGTTCATGGCTGATGCTCTGAAAACAGGTTGGGTTAGCCCCGCCAGCATGGCTCAGTGGTTGAGCGTTGACCTTTTTGAACCAGGAGGTCACCATTCGATTCCCAGTCAGAGCATATGCCCGAGTTGCGGGCTTGGTCCCCAGTTAGGCTTGCAGGAGGCAGCGGATCAATGATTCTCTCTCATCATTGATGTTTCTATCTATCTCGCCTTCTCCCTTCCTCTCTGAAATCAATAAAAATATTAAAAAACAACAAAATAGGTTGAATTAGTTCCTTTTTCCAAAGCTGTTAGGTGGCCTGCTGGGCACCCTGAAAGGGGCCTTGAGGCTTGCAAACAACCACCCAGGACTGGAGAGACTAGTCCCATTTTGCCCTGTGGGGCCCAGAAGGGTGCCTAATGCTCAGGAGGCCCTAGGCCCTTGACCTAGAGGTCGCCCCTGACCAGGAAGGTGAAGGCGCCAAGAGTGGATTTCTGAGCCCAAGCAAGCCCAGCACAGTGCCCCTGACACTAAGCCCTTCGTGCTGCTCCTAGTGTCCCCTTGTGGAGAAAGGCAGGGAGGGCGGGGCCAGGAGAGCTGCCATCAGCTCACAGTCAAAGCCTGGTGGTCGGTTGCCTATTGGATTTGCTCCCATGAAATAGCTGTGCCTTTTCTCAAAGGCAACCTTCTGAGGTCTCCTCCCACTTAGAATTGTCACCCTCCCCTCTGCCTCTGGGCTTCTTACCCAGCCCTTCTTTATTTTATATCCTTAGTACTTACAACTGGTTACCTTCCCACAGTTTCCTTAACTCTGTGGGTGGGCCCCCTGAAACCCGGCTCTGAGGTGGAGCCACACCTTAAAGGTATTTATCATCTGCCCTCTTCCGTGGAATGTAAGGCCCTCGTGGATCTTTGTTTTCCCGTGTTTCCCCTCCCCAGCACCTAGAACCGTAATCACTCCCTAGTAGGTGATAATGAAGGGGATTCCTAGAACATGTGTCTGGCATAGCCTTACTCCTTTCCAAAGCTAGAGGGCAAAATGGCCCTGCCCTCCAGTGATAAAGGTTTTAAAAGGACTTCAAATGCAGCTGGTGGTGCCCATGTTTCTGGCACCAGATCACTTGGGTGCTTGATAAAGGCACAGATGGCTCCTGGTGCCCCTGTGGGGCAGTCCCAGGTGTGCTTCCCAGGTAGTGGCTGCTGGTCTCCCAGGAGTGGGCAGTGGGTCTCTGATCGTTCCCCTGTCCTGAGTGGATGTGCCTGTCTGGAGGCATCACTGACTTCCTCCTTGGTCTCGCAGATCATTCCCCCGAAGGAGTGGAAGCCACGGCAGACGTATGATGACATCGATGACGTGGTCATCCCAGCCCCCATCCAGCAGGTGGTGACGGGCCAGTCAGGCCTCTTCACACAGTACAACATCCAGAAGAAGGCCATGACGGTCGGGGAGTACCGCCGCCTGGCCAACAGCGAGAAGTATGCAGCCGGGACCCTGGCTGGTGCAGGGCAGAACCCTGAAACCTTAGCTCCGAGGTGGAGCCACACCTTAAAGGCCTCTACCCCCCTGATCTGCAAAGCCCAGTCCACTGCGGGCTTTGGGGTGCAGGGATTGTAGGGCACACGCAGCCCCCTACAAAGTGCATGTCATCTGCTCTGGGTGCACTGGGTGGATCTCGACATCTCATGCTCAGAGACCACCCCTGTTCAAAGAGGGCAAAATCCAGACCCTCACCAACCCACGGCCACCTGTCCACCTCACCCTACCTTCAGTAGCCACTACTGAGGGCTGCCCCTTGGGGTTCAACCTGTTCCCTGTCCCTGGAGTGCGTCCTCTATACCCTCCCATAATGTCTCAGTTCTGATGGCGCCTCCTCAGAGAGGGGCTCTTTAACATGCATTCCTGCATGCTGCTTCCTTCAACATGGCGCACACATGGGCACACTCATGCACATTCTGTGTGCTCATGGGTGCACTCGTGGGCATTCCCAGTGCATACACGGTGCACTCACGAGCATACCACTGCTGTTTTCTCCTTCCTGTTCTCTGTTACTCCCAGATTCCTGGCTTTCTAAAATTGTTTGTGCATTTCCAGCAGTACCTTTGCTCTCCAACATAAGTGTACTGTGAAGGCAGGGTGTTGTCTGCCCCTCATGCAATGGACCTAGCGCCCAGGACAGCGCCTGGCCCGTAATCAGTGCTCTTAGTATGTGCTGAGCAGCGGGATGATGAGAACCGCCAGAGCCCGTGCCCATCCACCTGCTCCAGCTGCCCCTGGTGTGCGTTGTGACTTGGATACCACAGGCCCAGCTAGCTGATGAGGTGGGATAAGTGGGCATTATTCCAGGCAGGGCCACCTGCCCATCCTATACACACATCCTGGAATAAATGCTGTCTCAGTAGCGATGAGACCACATTTGCGTTTTCTGGGGCTGTGCCCTGTGGTGGGGACAGTGGGTGATCTGGGCAGAGCCTCTCCCTCGGTGTGTCCGGCAGATGCCCTGGGCTTGGTTCAGCCGTGGGATCAGGCGCATGCTCTGAGACCCCCTTTTCGGTGTGCTGTTTGCTCACAGATACTGCACTCCCCGGCACCAGGACTTCGACGACCTGGAACGCAAGTACTGGAAGAACCTCACCTTCGTCTCTCCCATTTACGGTGCCGACATCAGCGGCTCCTTGTATGATGATGTAAGTTCTGGATACCAAGAGGTTCTTGGGAAAATGAGGGACTCGGTTTCCATGGTGGAGGTGAAGGAATGTGAATGGAAATGGAATTGAAAATGGAAGTTAAAATGACACAAGCTTAGCTGGGCTTTCTGTTTGGGCTCCAGTTACAACTACATGCCTGGTCTTAGAATGAATGAAGAAGGGATCCCGTGGTTTTCTGACTTGCAAAATCTTTCCTACTGAGTTGCAGAGTTCTGATGGCTCTGATCTTACACCCTCAGAATCCTGGGAACCCCAGGTTCTCAGCTGGCAAGCTGCCATGGGTTCACTTATTTCTGGTCCCTGTGCTGGGCTGGGGGGCTTTGGGGACACCCAGGCAACAGAGAGGGGCATGTCCTTGGCCTGTCCAAGGACTTAGACCAGATGCTGGTGACTGTGACCAGAGGCCCAGAGAGGTGCTGGTGTTAAGCAGAGGGAGGTTGAGTGGGGCCCTTTTTTTAGGGGATAGTTTATTAATATTTATGGGACCTCAGATAACCCTGGTTAATTTCAGAGTTACTGAGCCTAGCTCTTTCCTGGGGGTGTTCTGTATGGGGTACACTGGGCTAAAATATGGCCTTTTCCACTCCCTAGGTGGTCCTCTTGGTCCTCATATGTGCCCCTCACTCCATGTTGTCACTCTGAAGGTCATTTCTTACCATAATAGTCTCTTCCATTCACTCAGCCCATGTTTACCATGAGAGCAGCTGATGGGCGCCACCTGAGTTCTGGTCTTGGGTGGGACTGGAGTTGGGTGGGAATAGCATCTCCTCCCGGGAAGAGTGGGGACCCTCCTGGATGCTCAGAGAGGAGCCTGTTAGAACAGGTGGGGCTTTTAACTCCCAAAAGGTATTGGAAAAATCAGGACTACTGCGTGGGTCCCCACATGAATTGTTGGCCAGCATTTCTTTTTGCCCAGAGTGGTTGCGCCATGTTGCATTCCACCAGCAATAAGTGAGAGTTCCTATTGCTCCACATCCTCGTCAGCATTTAGTGGTGTCAGTGTTCCGAATTTTGGCCATTCTGATAGGTGTGTAATCGTAGCTCATTGTGGTTTTAATTTGCATTTCCCTGGTGACATATGATATGGAGCATCTTTTCATGTGCTTATTTGTCATCATTGTATCTTACTTGGTGAGGTTCAGGTCTTTGACTAATTTTTTAAGTGGATTGTTTATTCTCTTATTATTGAATTTCAGGAGTTCTTTTGCAAATATTTTCTCCTAGTCTGGGGCTTGTCTTCTCATTCTCTTGAAGACTCTGCATTGTTTTCAAATAATTCAAAAATTAAAAAAAAATTAGAGCCTTGTCTAGGGAGAGCCTCTGGGTTTGCTCTTCTGTGCTGCCTGTAGTTGGTCGTAGTGATGGCCCCGTGAAGGACCCTGCTGCCCAGTGAGGCTTGGCGGGGCCAATGCTGAGATCGTGAGCAACGCCTGCCTTAGGTTCCTGAAGAGGCTTTGGGGCCCTGTGTTCCCTGTGCCTGATCTAGTGCAACAGTCTCCTTTTACAGACGTGGAAACTTAGGCTCAAGCAGAGAAATGACTTGCCCTGGCCACACGATGAGTTATTGCCTGGCTTAGACTAGATCCCAGGCCCCCGCCTGTGGCCTCATTGTGGATGTGTGGGCTGGATAGTGAGGTGAACTGGACAAGGCTTAGGGAAGCGACCTCTTTTTGATGTGCCCTGACCTTGGGAAGCTTCTATTCAAGGCGACCTTGGGCTTTTCTTTCTTATACTGAGGGGTCTGGTCAGTCTGCCTCCCGCCCCCCATGTTCTGGGCTTCTGCCAGGACTCACCTTACAAACACCAGCCACTAATCTCACCAAATCAAGGGCCTGTAATGTGGACAAGAGTGGGTGGTACAGGGTGGATTGGGGCAGAAAGAAGGCTGATGTTCACTCACATCTCAACAGGCTTGAAGGGTTCTCTAGGGAAAGGAAGTTGATTAAAGCATATTTTGTGAGCTCTTATGATAGTTTGCTTGCTTGTGGCATTAGGAATAGATGAGACTGGTAGGTGAGGATTCTGGCCTTGTTTGCTTGGTTCTGAGAACCATCTCCATCTCCTCCATGCGGAGGTCAGAAGGGCTGTCTGGCACCTTCGCTGGTCTAGTCCCACTTGGCAGTTGTCTACCTCCTTCTGTGTCATTGACTTTGAGGCACACCAGTTACTCATGACCAAACTGAGGTCTTTACTGCTGAGATTAACACATACCTCAACGTGGAGTCTAGAGAAAGCTCTGCCCAACTGCATAGCACAGGGCACTCAGTCGGCATCTGCAGGGTATGAGCAGCCCAGGATGGGTTTTGGATACTGGGGTGGGCGAGGCTCTGAAGTGGGCAGGCAGGTTTGGAGCTGACAACAGGGCTCTTGGGCCCTCATGGGGGTCACACTGTAGCAGGCAGCTCAGAGGGAAGGACACTTCCTGTCCTCCCACTAGTGTCTGGGGCTGGTGGGGCCTGGGTGCCCCAGGGATGGCCGGCCCACTGACTGTGTTCCTGCTGCCCCACAGGACGTGGCCCAGTGGAACATCGGGAACCTTCGGACCATCCTGGACATGGTGGAACGTGAGTGCGGCACCATCATTGAGGGTGTCAACACCCCCTACCTGTACTTCGGCATGTGGAAGACCACCTTTGCCTGGCACACGGAGGACATGGACCTGTACAGCATCAACTACCTGCACTTTGGGGAGCCCAAGTCATGGTGAGTGTCCAGCCAGCGGCCTGACTTGCTCCACAAGGCGGAAGGTCTCCGCTGCCAGCAGGGCAAAGGGCGGGGGAGGGCAGATGGATAGGTTCCTCCAGGTCAGGCAGGCATGGGTGCCTTCTGGGTGGCTCCCTGTGGCCAGGGCTATTAGGGAGGGTGGGCCAGGGTTGGAGCTCTGGTAGCTCAAGATCTGCTGGCTCTTTCTGCCCCCACTGGCTTCAGGACAGCCTCAGTTTACCCACCAGTTTGGGGATGAGGTATACGTGCCCCTCAGAAATGAGCTTCCTGATTTGTGGAGTTTGGGGTTTGGGCCTAGAGAGCTTCCCACTGAGCAGCGGCTGGTTCTGAGCTCCCTCAGCACCTCCCCAGGCCGAGTCAGGTGCGTGGCTGTTGTACTGGGGCTCTCCTGGGGCCACAGGCCTGGGGACAGGGTCGCCTTGAGCACTGAGCCTCCCTCGCCTTCCTCTTGGCCTTCGGTTTGAGGGGTGAGGTTAGCAGTAGGCCCCTGCTGCCTGGGGTCCCCACTAGTTTGCAGGTGCTGAGCAGGGGTGGGTGAGCTGTCCCGAAGGCCACTCTGGGAGTGCTGGGCTCTGCAGGCTGGGGCATATGTGCAGTGTGCTCTGTGTTCTGGAATCTCTGAGCTAACACTTACCTCACATCCAGCTTCTGCTGGCAGGCCCGGAGGCAGCTGCCTTCTGTTTGTTCACGGCTGTTTCCAGCAGAGACTCCTTAGCTGGGGCTTTGCATCTTCCTGCCTCTGTTGTCACAATAATCAGTGAAGCTCAGAGGGGTGGCAGGGGAGGCCCGGGAGCAGATTGTAGCACTCCAGACCTCAAACAAGCTAGCTCGGGGCAGTGGGGGGCAGGGGGACACAGCGCAGCTGGGGACACAGACAGCAGACCCTGGCCAAGGCACCTCTTACCTTGACTGAGCCTCTACCCATAGGCATCTCAACTCTAAGTTGCTTGGACCTCCTGGAGCCCTTTGCTGAGTGGGGCAGGATCAGGAGTTCTGAGCAGAGGACTCAGGAGCCAGCAGGAGATTTTGGGTGGGAAACCAGGCCCCTCTCTTCTTCCTTTGGCTGTATGACCATGCTCTCCTCACCTCTCATGTGAACAAAGCTGTTTCCTCTCAGACAGGCAGAGCAAGATAGAGAAGCATTGGACACGGACATGGTGGGGGCATTTGTAGGAGTGTCCCAGGGCTACTGTAACAAATCACCACAAGCCTTAGCACACACACATTTATTCTGTCATGTTCTGTCAGGAGTCTCACAGGTGTGGGCTGGGCTTTTTCTTTTGGAGGCTCTATGGGAAAATCCGGCCTTTCCAGCTTCTAGAGGAGCCGTATTCCTGGTTTGTGGCCCTTTCTTCCATCTTCACAGCCAATAACGCAGCCTCTTCCACCTCTGACTCTGACCCTCCTGCCTCCCTCCTATAAGGACCCTGTGATGACCCTGGTCCCTCCTCCCCATGCCCCCAGGGGTATCCAGGGTCATCCCCATTCCAGGGTCCTTAATCTATCTGAAAAGTCTCTTTTGCCATATGAGGTGCCATGTCCACAGGTCCCAGGCCCAGGACTGGGATGTCTTTGGGGCCATTATCCTGCCAGCCCTGGGCCTCTGGCCTTTGAACTGTGCTACTCTGCGTGTGTGGGAGATCCCATTACTGTTCCAGGGCTTGTTTTCAGCCCACTTCTCTCCTTGGGTGGTGTGCGTTGGCTTTGCATTAGCCTTTGGTCATCAAAGCCTCCAGGCTGAGCGGTATTTACCTTTTAGGGGTGAATTTGGAAGAGATTGGTGAGTTGGTGATGCCCTTTTCATAAGACCTGAATCTCACACCCACCAGCGTGATTCTGAGCACTCGGGCAGAAATGCTTCCTGGTCAGTGGCACTGTCCCATTGCTGTCCAGGATGTCCCAGCGGCCGTGTAGCCACCCTGTACCCCCTCTCTCCATGGCAAGGCTAGGCTGTGACTCCACAGAGGCCCCAGCCCAGGCCTGGAGGAGAGGGGGCCACGCTCTGCCCCAAGTCCACACCTGCAGGCAGGAGGGCAGGGCCTGGGAGTGCAGCTTGTGGTGTGAGTGGACATGCCCCTCACCTGGGGGCTCTGCCTGCTGCCTCTCAGCAGTCAGCATGCTCTCCGTGGGCTGTGCAGGCTGAGTGCCCACGAGCAGCCCTCTGACTCCCTGTGCAGATCCACAGGCTGTGTCGCATGTTTGTGTGTATGCCTGAGTGTCTGAGTGTGTATATGTGTGCTTGTATGTATGTGAATATATGTATATGTATGTGTGAGTATATGTGTATATATGGGAGGGTCTATTAGTGTGTGTATGTGTGTTTATGTATATGTGTGTGTTTCTATAGTTGAAGTGTTTTTGTGTATGTATGTGTATGTGAGTGTGGTGTGTGTGTGTGCTGGGCCTGCTCGATGGCCTGGGTCTGTGGTCGGCAAACCGTGGCTTGCGAGCCACATGCGGCTCTTTGGTATTCAATTGATAAATGAATAAAGAGCAGAGCCATACTCAAGGGGCCAAAGAGCCGCATATGCCTCGCAAGCCACGGTTTGCCGAGCCGCAGTTTGCTGACCACTGGCCTGGATGATAATTCATGGTGTTGGCCAGTGACTTGGCCACGTATCTGAGTGACTGTCCTCTGTCCTCTGCGTCCCAGTTCGGTTGGGTGCAGCTCCCCTCAGGGCCACTAGATGGCGCCCCTGCCCTTCCCCACGGACCATTATCTCTCAGCACGGAGGTGGAAATTTCCTAGGTTCTTTTTTATCTTTTTTAGACTCCACCTTTTTAGAACCCACTGGGCAATGATCATCCCAGGGCCCGTTGGGAGCCACAGTAGGAGGAGAGCAAGGAGGGGGCAGGGAGATGGGTGGTAGGAACACTGCCTCTGATCTGCTCAGCTCTGCGAGCACGCTCCGATTTTAAGGGCATCTGGCTGGCAGAGGGACCTTAAGGGAAGAAAACCCACCTTTTCCTTAGAGAGAGAGAGGAAGAAGCAAGCCAGTGCTGAGTCCCAGCACGTAGTGGCTAAGCTCTTGTAGATGTGACCCTGGGGCAAAAGTGTGTTCTGGGGTCACGAGGCTCTGCAGCAAGCAGTGAGGATGCCGAGGAAAGCTGCTGGTCTCAGGGAGGTTGGTGCAAGAAGTGGTGTAGGGAGCCTGGCAAGGAGGCTGGCTGGTAGTGAGAGGGTGGGGGCCACAGAAAAGTGTCTGGGATGGATGGTAGTGGGAAGGTGGTGGGACTGGCTTTGAGGGAGGTGAAGTGTGAGAAAATGCAATAGAAAGTCCGAGAGAGCTGTCCATGAGAGGGGACCCCGGAAATGTGAGGGCACAGCAGCCCCCTCCCTGGGGGATGCAGCAGGACAGACACCTGGCTCTGCATCTTGCCTCCTGTCACCAGCACTCGGTGCTCTCTGGCTGCAGCCCCTGAGGACAGCCCCGGCTGTTGCATGCTGTACCCCTGGTTTGCTTGGGGTGGCCCTTGTGTCTACCCATCACCTCACCTACACCCTTCTCCACAACCTGATTCTCGAGAGCAATGGGGAAGCCATCAGCAGGGCTGGCATTGGACACAGCAGCGCGTCTCTGACAGAAAGAATGTTCCAGAAGGCACTTTGACCTTGGTCTGGGTTTCTGGTCCAGAAGGGGGGTGGGATTGTACTTGGGGGTCTCTCACACTGACCGAGTGTGGCCAGTGGGAAGGGACTTCTCAAAGTGTGGCCATGTAGGGTCCCAGCTCCCTGCTCCATGACTGGTCAGCTCAGCCTGGTCATCGTGCTGGGCACCCTTCCGGCTCTCGCTCCTCAGGATCAGGGTGGCGATGTTGGCATCAATGTCTCCCCACCAGACCATGGACCTGGTGAGGGCAGGGCCCTCGGTCTTCCTTTTGTACCCAGCTCCCAGCAGGGGCCTGGCATAGAGGGGGGCTTGGTAACTATCAGGAGACCTGGGTACTTGGACCACAGTAACCCCTCCGCCTCTCAGAGCCCCAGTGCACTGAGGTTTCCATCGTGTGGAGCCAGTGCCATCCTGTGGGAGCCGGCCCTCCTGGTCTTGCTCTGTCATGGGGCCAACATGGACACTAGCCTGGGGGGCCAGGTGAGGTGCTCTCTTGCCCCTGGGCTGGGGGCTCAGGGAGCCACTTGGCAACTCCCTGGGAGGGTGATGCCTTGCTCCCACCCCTCCCCAGAGAGGAGACATTCTCTGGCAGATTGTACTCACACGTCTGTCTCCCTAATATATGTACTGCTCTGCTTGCGTCTACAGTAGCTTAATTGCAACCATTTCAGATTATTTCCGTAGCACTTTTTTTAAAGTGTCGACGTCCTCAGGTTTATTGCGTTTTATGAAGCCTTTCTGGTGTGTTGCTACTTCGGTAGTGTGATTTGTGTGTCAAAGTGACGTGAACAGCCTGGTGTCGATAAAAGCATGAAATTTGCTTTGAAAGGCTGGCAGTACGTGGTGCTCTCAGGCAGCAAGGCTAAGAATATCTGAAGCATTTGAGTGCTTCAGAATTCCTTTTGAGATGGGGATTGAAATAGACCGGTACTTATACTCACACGAGGACCATTCTTGCCACTGCTTGACCTTCCTGCCGCCCTGCTGCCCTGTCCATTGTTGAGGCCAGGAGGGTGGGTAGGCATGGGCATCAGGAGGAGGCAGGGCTGGCCCTGCAGGACAGTGCCTAGGGGGTGGGCAGCCCAGGGCTCAGTGTCCAGAGGTTGTGCCCTATAGAACCTGCTGTCCTGGGCCAGGCTCGTTCTGTGAAGCCCATGGGTGGTGGTGGTTTAGCCAGAGATGATATCCCCACAGCCTGTCCCAGGACCACTCTACCTGAGGGCCGCCCCTGGGCCATCTGCCACCTGGTTCGGCCCCTGTGGGTCTCAGGCCAGGTCAGCTACCAAGCCCCTCATTGGAAACTTCAGCTCTGTGTGTGATACACCCACCTCGTGTTATTTCACACTGTTTCTCAGATGCAGCAATAAC